ATGTAGTTGGGAAATTTAGAACCATACATTCGAATGTGGTTACGTACCCTACCCAATTTTCAATGAAAATAACAATTTTTTTAAATTAATTGAGTCGCCAAAGTGTTGTGTGGACAAAAATCACAATAATACGCATTATTAAAACGTTTACTTTTTTTTTGTCTATAAATCGTGCCCGTTAGGTTAGGTTAGGTTAGGTACATTCAGGACCGGCTCAAGCGAAAATAGTGAACTAGGCGAAATCAAATTTTGAGCCCCTAATAATATAATATTATCAGTATTTTGAAAATGTCACCCTCTTACTAAAGTGCTGCTTATGTGCCGCCCTAGGCGTGGGCCTATGTCGCCTACCCCTTGAGCCGGGCCTGGGTACATTGCATATAAAATCTCATTTTTCATAATACATTATATTATATTTTTATATTTTTATATTTTTATTATATATTTCTAATATCTATACCTATTTTGACCGCAGTATAGTGCCAATCAACATAATAGTAGGGACACTTGACATATACTTTTATAACTAAAACTTGGATTTGCATGCAATCGCATTTTTTCACTGGTAAATTTAACTGTATGCTAAAATGTTCAGCACAAAATGTTATGTCCCATGAAAGTGTGGTTATAACATTAAAATACTAATTATTTTGGAGAATATAATTTATGCATATTAACAAAATTTTACAGTTTTTAGAGAATATTTTACAATTTTAAGATCATATATTATGGTTATTTTATGGCATATACCTAGTATGCATATTTTGTAACGTATAAATAAAAACTTTAAGTAAAATTTCAATAAAATTAAATTAAAAACTGTCAATTCAGCAGAATTGAAAAAAAATCAAAATCCATATTATTATTAATACCATATTATTTTTTAGAAATATTACAACTATACAATAATAAATTATTAAATAAACATTGCTACCTATGACTTGTGTTATATTAATTTAAAATCGTCATCGTTTAAAAAAAAAAATATATAGTTTTTACAAGTGTATTTTACCTCATAACATGGTGCGCTTTGATGCATATTGATAATTTGATAACATATTTCGTGATTTTAGTGCATGTAAATCTAAGGCCTATAATTATAACTAGAGCGCTGATTTATATGCATTAAAAACCGATCAATTACGAGCAAAAAAAACTTAAATATTCACTAAAACGTTAAAATATGCATGAAAAATAAAAATATGCAAAAAAAATGTGTTCATTGAACATTTAATTAAAACAATATATTTAAAATTATGGAACCCTATACTATAAGTACTTTTCTTAATTTTTTTTTTTACTTTCATATTTTTATAGGTAGTTTTAATTTATAAGAAAAAAAATAGGAATCAATTAATATAAAAAATATTTGGGAAAACCATTTATACCTGCAAATATACCTACCTATTAATTTATTTTTATATTAATCGAAACAATATACAAATATAATATTTTTTTCTTATATTGCAATGGTATATATTTTAAAAATGTAACACATCGAAATAAGCCCTAAAAGATAAAATATGCAATAAAAATTGTAAAATAGGCCCTTAAAGTAGATAAATGTCGAAATATGCAAAAATATGCAATAAAAAAGTTTAATTTTTAAATCGTTGTGTCGTAAAATAAATTTTGTGCTCACTTAGTATGAATATCATATACGATTAACCAAAATAAATAATATGCAAATTCATACAAATCCGAGCTCTATTTATAACTTACGAATACTATTTGAACTACAGACAATATTTTTATTATTTACATTAATTAAATTAAATTACTTATTTGTAGAAATATTTCATAAATATAAAAATAAATATACTTTTAATAATATTATAATAGTTGATGTAAATAATAAGTAATCAAAAATGTAACCCATCGTGGTCTTTAAATTTACAAATTTCAAGTGCAATTTAGATTATACCTTTTGTTTTTTAAGGAAAAATATTTTTGTAAAATTATAATTTAACTAAACTGAAATGTCCAACAATTTAAAGTTGTATAATAAGTAATAACAATACTGGAAAAACCTGAAATTTCTAACTTGGTGAAATATAATAACTTTATAGTTAAATCTGGATGCTTAATGTAATATTATTTGTACAATTGTATTTATTTCTTACTGTGTACAGTTAACTAAACTTCAACAATTTTAAACACCATTTTCACGATGCAAGAAATATTGTTCAATAATACCATGCACAGAAGAAAATGTCTATAGCTGTATAAGCCGGTACGTCAAACGCTCGACTCTTAAAATATAAACTAGCCATCGACAAAATATGTTTTAAAACTCAATGTCAATAGTGGTCAACATCTCTTATAACATCATTAGCTGTCTAATCGCAATATTGCGCTCATTATAATGTGATAGGTACTGTAAAACAATAAACACGCCAAGCCGATTTTAAGGTCACGTATAGTCTAGTATAATAACTGCACGATTACGACACAATAACAATATTATATTATGCTGTGATCGATTTTCATCCTATATCTTTTATATGAAAATGTCGAATGTTTTATCGTGGAAAACACTGCGCAGTGTGGTACACGAGAATACATTATAATATCTTTGCCGAAACCGATTTATAAACAATATATTATAATATGCACATATTGGAATTATAAAATAGGATTATATCCTATGTCGTTTCATCCCTCGCCGAATCGGACTTAACGCGAGCGATCATCATCAAACGAGGGAGCACATTTTCCGAATTTCTTCACGAGGGTGGCGATTATACGTCCCTCGAATATAATTTAATATTAACATTATCTCGTGTTGCCAAACTATTCGAACAAAGATCGTCGTCGGGTGCACAGAAATTACTCGTACACTATATTATTGTACTTACGACCGTAGGCGTGCGCACTGGGAAATTTTTTTAAGGCATGATCAAATTTTCTTTTTTTTTTTTGTTACGACGCATAATATTTTATAGCGATAACTAATATCGCATGTTCGTGGAGATCGTGGACATTTTATTCGTCGTGATAGTGTAATAAAATTAAAAATATTTGTGCGTACCTACCGCATATATATGATTACACCAATTTTATTTGTGTAACAAAACCGCATCGTGTACAATAACTATCAGTGGCGTATTTAGGGAGGGGCCCATAGGGGCCCGCCCCCCCCCCTTGGCCCGTGTAGTACATATTATAATAGTATAATACAATAATTAAAACACAGTTTTCATCAAATATAAATTTTAAAACTTATAGAAAACCTTGTATTAAATTTTCAATTCTAAGCTATGAATACTAAAAATGTAGGTTTACTTAGTATTGTAATGTAATACGCTTTTGTTTTTATTATTTTAGAAATTAGGACATTTGTATGATATTGCCAATTTTGTGGTCAAACACACTTTACAGTCTTCTGAAATATTTAATTGTTTGAAATTGACTTGGATACCCGATCCAAAGTATGATTTTCCTATACGTGCAGAAGGCAAACATAATAGAAAATTTTAATATAAGTATTTAGAAATTTTAGAAATATTTCCATGGTTAGCTTATAGTGAGATTAATAAAGGAGCCTATTGCAAATGGTGTGTTGTATTTGCTTTTTCAGGCGGTGGATCAGGCAACCAGGTATATTACACATAAAAAAAAACTATTTCCCTTGATTATTTATAAATATAATAATTTTATAATTATTTCTTGTAGTCGTTAAAGAATCTAGTAAAATCTAGTATAATCTAGTATAAAAATCTCCGCCAGGAGAATGCAACTACAAGACTGGTCAAAATAATAGACATTACTTAAATTGTACATGCTTTAATATAAGTACTTTAATTGTCTTAATCTTAATTAAATATAAAATATAATATACCAGAATGTATGATTTTTGTGTTATATCTGGTGGGCCCCCCCCCCCCTTGAGAGATTTCTGGCTACGCCACTGATAACTATAATATATGAATAGCTGGTCAAACAATCTATGAGTTAATTTAATATTAAGATGAGTGGACCAGCACCAGGTCGAGGATACACAGCTCCACAGAAAAACCCCATACCTTTGCAATAAGTAGATCGTTTTCAAATGAAAGACCACTCGAACTGTCCCCTCAATAATCTAATCGGTATAATATTATGTGAACACCGTTTACTGTGTATAGTGTTTAGTAATATAAATTTACATTTTCGATGTGCGCTGAGCACAAGTAAACCCATTATATGAGACATTAGTATTATTAATTTACGATATTAGAATGTATCTTTTGAAAATAAAATAAAAATAGGGACTTTGTCCAATTATTTGGACATTGATTGTTCGACTAGAAATTATATCGAAGTCTACGCACGCCTGCTCGATTTACTACACTGCAATGTCAAACTAAACGCGTTATACCGAGCACGGTATACATATTATTATGACAATAATAATTAAAATAATATTGTAATGCGGTTCTACAAGATTCTGGATTCTGCACCCAACGAACCGATGCGTATTGCGTATATCGTCGATATTAATAATATATAATGTTATTATAATGCCCACGTCCCGATACGTCCACGTATTACACGTCCGGCAACGCCTAATGGGGGGACTTCACGATCTTAGATGAACATACCTACCTCTGCGATATTATACTTTATATAAAATAATATTATACCTGCAGATACCAGCTATATGGCTATATTTGTATATATATATATATATATTATTTTTTTTCCAACCGTTTCGGTGTTATTGTCGTCGCATATCCCCCCCGACCGCCGCGATCACCAAGGTCATCGTCACTTCTGTCGCTCTTCTGCGCTCGATCCGGATCTTGGCCTTTCGGACCGACAATAGGACAACAGGCAACGCCCTTGCCGTCGGGTAGGGGTATCGGCTATGGTAAACGGTTCGTCTTGACTCGAGCATATATAAGGACAGCGACGACCGACGTTGGCATCACACCGCATCCCGAGTACACATCGACGACCACAGGTTGAAGTTTGCAGATCAGTCGTAGACAACCCGAGAAGAAATCACCCAAACAAAAATGGCTTCTTTCAAGTATCTGGTAAGTCGGTTTTTGTATCCGAAGGCTTCATCGTCGTTCGCACATTATATAATGTTCAAAACCGTATACGATATCCGAGTCGTATACGACGACCGATTCGTTCCACTCGTCTCGTCGGTCGTCAAACGATTATTGTCGTTCGGTGTGTCTATATCGTCGTAAAATCCGATAATAATATAATATTCTATATCTATATACCATGTATATGGTTTCAATTACTATATGTCCGCGTCTTCTTCTCAAGGTTAGGTCAGATCGCTTTGGTGGGTTGGAACGATCGTATACTGTGCCTGCACGACGACGATCGTTCTGTATTTAGGGAAAATATTAGACAGTCCCTCTGCGATAACAGCCACAGCGTAGGTCACCACAACGACGTGGATATCAGACCGCTGTGATATTTGCGTTTTATAACATACTAATTCGATACCAAACTATAATAATATGACGTTTACCCGACGATTTCGAAAACGATTCGACCGTGTTTATGATTCGATGTAGGTAGGTAGAGTTTGCTCGCGGACTATAATATACAATTACGATCGTCGAGAAAACGTGTAGCTCATATATATTATATAATATTATTATACCGAAGCTTTAATGGAAAAATGTATGACTTTTCGTATATAATATAATAAAAAGCCCGTGCCATAGCGTTGGTAAGCTATCCACAGGCGGTATACGAGTGCATATATATATATATATATACATTTGATATTACGATACGTGTCCGGCAAGCCAAGTTTTCGTAAATCTCGGAGCAAATGAAACTCTCGGAATTAATTGGCCAAATCCATTATTTTTCCTCTCGTATAAGAACTCGTCGCCGCACCACATCGGACCCTCGACAATTGCGCAGCGATTCACTGGCGTACAATATATATATCGTGTGGGTACTCTGAAAACGGGTTAGTTAAAAACCGTTGTAGACACGCTTTTAATTTGTAGTCCGACCCAATACGATATTTAGGTACCATATCGCAACAGAATCGATCGGTTTTAAAATGTCCAATTTTTTTTTTCACAGATATTCGTCGCCTTGGTCGCCCTCAGCGTGTACTCCGCAGTCGCCGAAGAAGCACCAAAAGCCGAAGAACAAGGCGCTGACGCCGCCAGAGTGAAGAAGCACGCTTACATCGCTGCCCGTAAGTATAAAATATTTTTACAATATTTTAATTACAAAACTTATGTTTCAACATCGAACGTTTTAAATAATTGTTTTTTTTTTTTTTATTCTCACAGCAGCTTTGGCCTACTCCTCTCCAGTGTACCCGTACGCGTACTCGGCTTACCCATCGGCTTACCCGTACTCGTACTCGTACCCGGCCGCATACCCGACCGCTTACGCCTCTTACCCGAGCTACGCTTACGCTCACGACGACGGCAAGTACTGGCCAGGCAAATACGAGGCAAAGGCATACTACCCAGCTTACAAGTCCGCCTACCCAGCCGTCTACCACTACTGAACACGCTCTCCCGACAACACGCCTTCCAAGTCTTCCGGCAACAAACGTAGTTTTTAAGATAATTTTATAACAATTTTTTAACAATAAAAATGTGATCTTTTTTTTTCAACAAACCGACGAGTCGTTTTATATCTTTCATCGTTTTCCTTGGTACACCTCTTATATATAGTCGCGGTAACTGCGGTATATAATGTTTACTGCACGGACCACGCTGTTGCAGTGACGTCGACAAATATTGATGTTTGTTTATTTTGTAGCCAATAAAACATTAGCAACTATAATAAAATATTATAATTACAATCAAACGCATCGTGGTTACACATCGCACTTATAATACGCATTAATTTGTAGTGGTGATGTTAAGTTCAGAAAGATATAATTTGAATTCTACATAATATTTAGAACTGTACGTATAGAGATATACGTAATAATTAAATATTGCCGTTTGTTTAGTATATAATAAGTATGTGTAACACAATAATATTGTTGTGGCGAGGTGGTTAGCCTAAGCCACTAACGTGTTTGGAGGTAAAGCATCAGTCAGTGTAGCTAACTCCCGGATTGGTGACCACCTGGGTTTTTAGTGACGAATTCTGGCCACATATACTTACACGTTTTTTAACCAACCGTACCCTCAGCTCAAAAGTAAAAAACCGTCTAAATAACCTTCAGGTTAATGACCTCAGATGTTGAAGCCTTAACTTAATGAAAAAAAAAATAATATAATAATATTGTTGAACTACAAGAGATAATAAATTATATACCAATGCGGCTATGCTTACACCGCAAGATATAAATTGATATTGTATAGCGTTGGAAATAATTTAAGTATTAAGGCGCCTTCACAGCTCCCCGTGAAACGTGAAACGTGGTGTATTCTAGAACTGTGATTGGTTGAACCATGTGGTTATCTAATGGTTAACCATAATTTTTTTTCTTATAATACCTTATCTATACCGCTTATACCGTATAGTTGAGTTCAATCCTACTCAGAGCGTGTGTTTACCGTATGGTTGACAGTCGTGGTTAAGAATATTTTTACGGGAACAAATTATATATTATCACGTTTCATGGTGAGCTGTGAAGGCGCCTTTATATGTTTCCTAGGCCATTTTTTAGTGAATAACCACTGCGTGTCTACTCATAAACCCTTAAAAATAAGTTTCACTAACAGAAAGACCCCATTTTCTTAACTCGCAGTAACCTGTCCAGTTACTTCTCTAACAGTTGGATTCATATACCCATGGGCCATGGCCACGAATAATGATAGAAATAACTATTTCTATACGGAATTAAAAGAGCAGCACGCCGCGTCACCAAGCCTTCAAATACTATTTACGATAAAAAACATTAACTAATAAATATATTTTAATTTTATCGTTTATCATTAGGTATGATAAATAAACGTATATTTTTTTATAAAAAAGAAGAGGAATCTAAAAAATAATAATTATATTAATATAATATTGTAGTTATTACTTATTATAGTAACTACAATTTACTATTTATTCTAGTGGACACAGAGTTAGTAAAATCTTACTCTACTGGATGTCCATCGGACATTTTACCGTGACCATTTGAACACAAAAAAATATTTTCTCATTTGCCAAAAAAGAATCGGTTTCATAAGACCGCAAGTTGTGACGAGTTTGACTATGACCGCAGCAATAATTAGGATGGACGTTCGTCGTTACCTATAAATATTGTTAATATATTATAACATCGAGGATTCTTTGTGCTCGCTGCACTACATTGTTTAATGTTCATAGTTATAATGTTAAGTGTAGCCTTATCGTCCGTACACGATCGGTATGAACACTAAACCGTATTGTTAATGACGTGCCATCTTTGTGTAGAGTGTCAAATTAAGTTAACCTAAAACTTTCGAGGCGTGCACAGAAAGTCATCTGAAGTTGAAACGCCCAAATGACGTCTTAACTCGCTCGAGGTGAAACGTGTATTGTAAAATGTTATAGATTTGGAGCGGAAACTTTGGTTTCGAAGGAGATTATAGTAAAAAAAACTTATAATCATTAACTATAATGAAGTGCGTGCCACCCTCTATAGTTTGTCAAAGTATAAGAAATGAAAAATGTATAAAAAAAAGGCAAAGACAAAAGAAGCTTCAATGATTTCAAACAATCGATAAAATGTACTCGTTATTAATCACTACATGAATAATCAATCATTATAATGACAAAAATAATTGTTACCTAATTATTTAATGTCGAAAAAATATAGAAAAATGTACTCGTGATACAATTTTAGTCTTAAAAAAATAATTTAGAAAAAACGTATTAAAATACAAATACAAATATTTTTATTCAAAATGAAAATACTTTTGAGTATTTCATATACTTAGCATCGTTGAGTCAATTGAGCTATTATTATTGTTAATATTTAGAGTCCATTCCTCCGAAACAGGTAACATAAAACATACATTATCTGTCTTATACTAAAATTATAATCCTTGACAATATTGTATAAAGTATAGATTATAATACATATTATATTATTAATGTTTGTTTTTTAATTATTTTATTTGAGGGATGAGTATTGACGTCAATATAACCATTTATAATTAGCAGAATTTGTACATTGAAAATCTAATTTGAAATGATTTTCTATACATTTTATCAAGTCAGAATTTACTATATTTCAGCTCGTATAATATTCAATAAATCGGTATGGATATTATTCTATTAGTTACTTAATATTTATTTATGCCATTATAACTATTAAAATAAATCAACAACATTACTCATTAGTATTGTATCAGTCGCGACTAAAATGTTGATTATTGGCTTGTAAAAAAATTGAATTGAAGAATCCGGATACCTTTGTTCGAAATAAGAAAATATGAATTGTTGTCAAACAAAATACTGGATATGTAACAAAATTGATTTGAAAGTTATTATATATACATCCGTTAGGTTATCACATTTAGTAATTTATAACTTATAACAAGAAATTATGAATACTGCAACTTTTTTTAAAGTAATTCTACATCGAATACTCAAATTCATCATACAAAGTGTATCGCCTCCCGAAGTTATTATTATGAATGAAAAAAGTATGAAACTTTAATTCAAAAGATATTACATAATATTTTATTGAAAAATCTGCAGTCACAACTTTGATTACATTGCATAATTTTGATATTTGTTTCTTCTGCTGTTACCCTTCAACCAAATCCCACTTTTAGAATAATGTTCAATATAAGTTATTAGTTATTATTAAAGACCGGATTTAAATTCTCTTAAAATACCCAAAATATAATGCTAATATTCTCTAAAAAACCTTCAAATATTGTCATTATATTATTCCCTCAAAAATTCAAAAATATGCAATAATATGCTAAAATATGCAAAAATAATCAATTAACATCTTTATATGCTTTAATATGCATTTTTAAAATTTGTTTTCAACATTAGTTTAATAGTGAGGAATTAATTAGGTATTAAAAGTTGCGTATTATACCTCCTAGAATACCATTGCACTTTAGTAAGAGTTGGACATAGGAATATAATATAAATATAACAGTGTAATATTAAAACATGAAAACAATATGCCTTTGATATATTTTAATTAAAAGTTGTATGAAACACTTAGTCACAGTGCGAAAAAAAAAACAAATATTAATATACCTATATTACAACATAATAAAACAAAACAAATTTTTAATCAATAGGTAATCATTAAATAATAATTATTTAAGTGGTTTACTAAATTACACTTGCATTATGGAATTGCATTGAAGAAACTAGGAATACAAAATGATATATTTTGATTTTTATATTGATTTTTTATCATTTTTATCAAAATGATAAAAAAAAATTAATTGTAATTTTTTCTCACAATTTACGAAATATTCCAAAATATGCTAAATGGGTTAAATATTCTCCAACCCATGAAATATTCCCAAATATGTAAAAAAAAAACATCGAATGAATCGTTCACATTTTTTACTTTCATAAGACTGCATAGACCTAGTAACGATATGTAAAAACATATAAATTCGGTCTTTAGTTATTATACTCACCCACAACCAATTAACATTTTTAGTATATTTTGAAAAAATATATTTTTAATTTTAAAAAATAAATTAATTACGAAAATTTTTTTTGAAAATTTGTATTTACAGCTGATAGAAATTTGGTTATATTAATAATATGATAGGTACTTATAATTGAGAAAAAGAACCAATGTAAAAAATAGTAACTTACTTTCCAAATAATTTTAGTTCCTAGTAATATTTATTTAATAAATATATATAAACGTATACATATATGATATATACGTATTTGAGATAAATAATAATTTCCTATTTATTCAATGAAACTAAAAATGCCCGAAAATGACACAAGTACTGAGACTATTCGACGGGTCACTAAATTAGGTATGAATAATTTACTGTTTGCTCTTGAAACACATGGTGACAAATATTTGAGTTCCAATTTAAAAAAAAATTGTTTATAAGTATCTTCATATATGCACACGAATCGACTACATATTTGCATTTATTTATTTTATACATTTGTTAGATTTGATCATAAAAGCGTATCCATCATTGTGTAAATGAAAATTAGTATTCTATAAATTATAAAATGCATATTAATACGACATAAAATTAACCAACTTAGCCATCTAAGAGGAATATATTTGACCGTTTTTTTTTTACATTACGCTCCGAGAAATTTCCTCCACAGCTATAATAGTATTCGTCAGTTACGTAGTCGATCATAAAAATAAAAATAATCGTATTATATTATATAGATACATCATCATCGTAATCTAAATCATATTAATAATATAAAATCATATTATGCAAATTTAATAAAATCTTATTACCGTATAAATAATAATAGTACGCTTGACAGCTTTTTTTTAATTTAAAACAATTATACCGATAGAACAACTTTTCGGAATCAAGGCGTATACCTGCGCGCATATTTGCGCAGCCTGGTTATTATTATTTATTATGCCAAAAAAAATAAAAAAATAAATGTATGATTAGGTCTTAATACAGTTTCTGCAGTTGCTTCCAGTGCCGACCTCCCACGTCCCATCATGCATTAAATTTAAAATTTAAATAATTCGTGAGTATATAAGGAGGACGACGCCCGACATTGGCATCACACCGCATCCAGAGTTCACATCGACAACCACCGGTTGAATTTTGCAGATCAGTCGCACACAACGCAAGACGAAAACACCAAAACAGAAATGGCTTCTTTCAAGTATCTGGTAAGTCAGAAACATTTTTATTTTATAAATTCGACTTGGTCGTCGATTCGTTTTAATCGTTCCTTTAAATCCGTATAGTCCGAGTAATATTCGTATAAAAATGTAAAATAATATATGATAATACGACCGATTCGTTCCATACGCGTCTCGTTTATCGTCACACGATTCTTCGACCGCCGATCGGGTGTCCACATCATATTATGATATAAATCGGAAATTCCACGTCGATGAAGATAACTTTAGTATATAGGTACCTACTATATGACAATATTATGTCTGAGTATTATTCGTAAGATTTTCGGAGCCGAACAATCAGATCGTATTTGTGCAGTGTATCGTCTCAACGATTGTCGCAACGATCGAATCGTTCGATATATTTTAAAGAAAATATTAAATCATCCCTCTGCGATAACGTCCATGTGAGTGTGTACCCGAAATGATATATCGAAATCGGCCTGCGGTACATAATTTATCATACCTATTTGATAGCGAATACTATCTTAAGGTTTCAAAAACGATCCGAGCGTGTCGATATTTATTTTTATTTTACTTTTCGGTCACGGACATACACAAGTACAAGTGCAGTAATATTAGGAGATAGAAATAACTCAACAAGTAAAATTAAATCTAGTGTACATTATAAAATAAAATAATAATAGGTTACAATATAATATATTTATCAAAGAAAAAAAGCCAGGGTCCAGGTATAACATTTACTACATGTCTACATCTAATGGAGACGAGTGGAATATATAGAGATCACCCGACAATAATAAACAATTATACGATTATCTAGTAAACGTCTACACGACTATACATGCTTATTACAACATACATATTATTGTACCGACGCTTTAATGGAAAAATATAAACCTTTTCTATTATATAGTACATATAATATATGTACCTATGTAATATAATGAAACGTCCGAGCTACAGCGTAGCTAAGCTACAGTGGCAGTAGATACGATTGCGGTACCTGCCTATATATTACATGATATGTGTAATGGCTACCCAAGTTTTCGTAAATCTAAGAGCAAACGAAAATCTATGAATTAATTGCCCATTTTTTTTTTTACATTCGTACCAACTAAGATTGGACCCTCGACGATTGTACCGCGATTTACTGGCATAATATTGAGTATGGGCACCTATACCTAATGGATAACTAGATACTAAAAACGATAGTCGTTAGACACGCGCATTTATACATTTTGCGGACAGCATAATATGATACGATACTCGAGTAAAATTACAAGAAATATCTATCGGTTTTAACTATCGTATTTGTTCATTTTCACAGATGTTCGTCGCCTTGGTGGCCCTCAGCGTGTACTCCGCAGTCGCCGAAGAGCAAGTCGGCGCTGAAGCCGCCAGAGTGAAGAAACAAGCTTTCATCGCTGCCCGTAAGTATAAAATATTATCAAAATATTTTAATTACAGAACTCTCGCCGTGTTCCAACACTGTGTGTCGGACTGTCGTCCAGAAGTGAAACCAAATCGATCGTAGTTTTAAATAATAATTTTCTTTTTTTTTTTTTTTACAGCAGCTTTGGCCTACTCCTCTGCAGCCTACCCGTACGCGTACTCGGCTTACCCATCGGCTTACCCGTCGGCTTACCCGTACTCGTACTCGTACCCGGCCGCATACCCGACCGCTTACGCCTCTTACCCGAGCTACGCTTACGCCAACGACGACGGCAAGTACTGGCCAGGCAAATACGAGGCAAAGGCCTACTACCCAGCTTACAAGTCCGCCTACCCAGCCGTCTACCACTACTGAACACGCTCCCCCGACAACACGCCTTCCAAGTCTTCCGGCAACAAACGTAGTTTTTAAGATAATTTTATAACAATTTTTTAACAATAAAAATGTGATATTTTTTTTCAACAAACCGACGAGTCGTTTTATAATAATATAAAGATATTATCTTTCATGGTTTTCCTAGGTATACCGACTTCATGGTCGCAGCCTGCTGCGGTATATAATATTACACACAGACCACAGAGTGACGTCGACAAGCAATGCAACTGTTTGATTATAGGTATAACGTAAATGGTACTACTTTAGTGCGATCTAATAGCGTTTTACTTGACTATACCTTGTGGTTTTAAACCAACGAGTAATAAGGATTCTAGACCCCCAATATAGACATGGTATATATGTCGTAAGGGATTACTTGGATTTATTATTCGACCTTCAGAAATGGATTATCCATTAAGGTACACTACAGCACTTTGGTGCGGATAGTACTTTGAAATGTGACTCCATACAATTATAGTGGCTCTGCACAGCATGATTACAATAATACCTATAGCAACAAGACTGAGTTTAGCTTCCTTTACTGATAGCAGACAATTGATCAATCAATAATATAATATCTGGAAAAAACAGACTCATCTACTCTCCTATCCTCGATTAGTTTTAAAGTCCCTCAACGATCTGTTCGACATTCTGTCAATTCCGCTATCCTTCTCGAACTATGTGTTAAATTAACCTATTCCTATTACCTCTCCTTCACTATTCAAATTGTTAAACATATTATAATATATTAAGTATCATTATATAAATCTTATAGTATACTGCCAAATAAGTATTTATGTCGATATCTAGTTATTGTAAGAATATATAATATGTGTAACACAATAATTGTTGTACGACAAGACATCATACAGTTTTTTTTAAATTGAAGAAGTAATTGCCAATTTTTTTTTTTAATTTCACCCCTAGCTGTTTCCGCTACAGTATTCGTCAATTATGTTTGTCGTTAAAATAAAAATAATTATATTATTATAGGTAAGTATCTACATCGTCATCGTCATCATCGTCGTTGTAATTTAAGATGATCAAAACATGTGCGAATTTATTAAAATCTAATTACTTACAGTATATAACAATATTATACTTGACTGCTTTTTTTAATTTAAAACAATTACCAATATAAAATAATTTACCGTAGGTATACCTGTATATTTATTTGTGCAGTTTGATTATTATTATTTAATATTATGCTAAAAAAATTATATATATAATTAAGTCTTAATAGTTTATGTTGCTTATACAGTCTCTCGCGTTCCATTCATTAAATTTAAATTATCTTCAATAAAATTGGTTACGTAATTTTATTTTTCATCTTAGTAAATTCAATTTTATTTTTAATTAAAAATGTTGTCTAAAGAACAAGTTTTAAAACGCCGTCATATTTATGTCAGTATAGAGATGCTTTGTAGGTAAAATGTCTAATGTTTTCAAAGTTTAAAATCTTTGTTTAGTTTTTTATCAACTTTAAATTAAAATCATTAAATGTTGGCGTTTTATGTTTACCTGTGTATACACACTTTTAAGAATGTATAACTATATTACCCACCATCGTAATATTATTATTTACATATAATATAAAATTTACCTACTGCAGTTGTCTGATCTTAAATGAATTATAAAATATGTATATACGAGTAACACTGTAACAGCTATGGAATTAGTATGAATAGATCGTAAAAATTGATGGCGCACAAATCAATCAATCAAGTTTGTATATCAAGGCGTGAAATCGATATCTTTTATTCGTTTTAATTTACAATAGATGTATATTATACGCCTCGCTATAAAACATAGCTACAGCTGAGTAGGTACCTAAAATTAGTTTTTAATTTTTTTTTTTTTACACAATGCTATATAATAGAGATATTAATATTATCGTACAAATAACGTTACATTGTTTTTGTCAAACCGTTTAAAGTTTATAAAACGATGTTTCATCGAGTTGACTTGACGTAGTAGATCGTACACGAAAATAATATTATAAGAACAGTGTCGTACCTATGCCTTTAAAGTTTTAGATATTATATTTATAAATTACTATACTAATATATTATGTACCTAATATAGGTACAAGCATGATTAAAACATATTTAAAGATAAAAAATATAAATAATTTTAGGTATAGTTTGTAAGTTGTCGGAGAGTTAGGAAAATACCATCATCACAATATCGACTACTACAGATCGGAGTTCATACCATATTATATAATATTATAAATATTTTATACTACTACTACTACTACAGTCCTGCTCGATTATAATTTGTGATTCAGTCACTTATACTTCTATATTTACGATGCACCAGATATTATATTTATTGTGGGCGGATTATGTGTGCGGTGTGTATGTCAGATTTTCTGTTTTGATTAACAGCCCCTCAACGCTTTGCAGCGATGCTATTGTTTTTGACTAGATTTCAAGAGCTCTAGTGTAGTGAGTACAGAAATTTATGTTTTCCAGGCATTGATTATATTTCAAAATATTATCAGGAACGGGAAAAAAAAAGAACTTTTGAATTCTAACTTAACCGATTTTTATATTACCGAGTTTGATACAAAATATGAATAATATTCTATGTATTACTGGAGGGCGATTCACAAGTATTTTCTACCCTCATTTTATCCTTTAATAATGCTTTTATTCAAATTACTATTTTTGGAATTTTCAAGTATGCTTTAAAACCATAATTTTGAATAGGTACTCAGGTTTGTTATACTATTTAAGTAGGGTCCTGCAGCGTACTTCTGTGGTGATCCAAACTTCTTATTTTTCAAACAAGAACCATTTTTTACTGTAAATTATTAAATACATGATTTATTTGAAAACGTTGATTCAACATCCAAACGAGCAGTTTCTGAGTGATTAATAAACTTTAGTGTAGGTGCTTATTAAGGATAACCACCCGTAACAATGGTTTATACTAAATATAAAATTAATGTAATATGGCATACACTATACCATAATACCGTTTGTACTTTGTCTATATATTTTAAATCCACTCGCGACGTGGTTATCACGACCTCCCGGATATTTTACATTTAATATTATGACGATCTCGGAGCGCAATAAATTACTATCGTGATAATGTTACGTTAATATTTAAGATAATTTAAGTAATATTGCTAATGCTTGGTAATAATACTACCATGGCCCAAACCAAACGATGACTAGAATAGGGAAGAGGTAATATATTATTTGGTCTCCTATAAGTTAAGCCACATCCACATGCGGCCAAGGAAGATCCTCCATGCCTGCTTACTCACGGAACACTCATTATAAGGTCAATCACATATTTCACTGTATTTAATTACCATTTGCACATTCAAATAAAAGTGGTTTGTATAGTTTAATATGACAAAACTAATAATTTAATTTGTGTTTCCCCTTAATTCTATAAGAATATTATACGCTTTTTGTGTGTTATTCATGTTGATATTATCTTGTCGATTGTTATAAAAAAGTTGAATTTTATAGTTTTTATAAGCATATCGACTAATGTTACCGGCCTGTTTTTTCGAACAGATTATCATTTATATTTATGAGCTAGATATCAGAATATTTCAATAATGTCGTGTGATATGCGTAAATCATTATAGGTAGGTACACCTAATGGAAATTAAAGTCATTAAAACGATTATCGATGTGCTGCACGTCGGAGATTTGATTGCATTTTAAGGGGGGGGGGGGTTTAAGTATTTCTTTACAAAATAATAATTGGGGCTTTGAAAAATATTCAATAACTTTTTTTGTGGTGGGAGGGGGCAAACCGAGCACCCCCCATCACCACCTACGTTTTAGAAAAATTTCTTATTTCAAAATTAAGTGCGTTTCCCAATAATTCCTGTTGCATTATTATTAAATATTATGCATACATATAGTTTATAACTTATAGGTACTTATTGTACCTATGCTAGTAGAACGATAAATTTCTAATTTTATACGAATTCACAATTGAATAGTATTATCATGACGTCCATATTTTTCAGGTATAGCAAGATATAGTTTTACCCACCACCATTAAAAGTTATAAAAAAATTTTTTTTTTATATTCTGCTTCCCCTATTGCCAATGTTTGTTGACCTTTACATCAAGTAATAGAATTGGGCTTAAGTCGGCGAGTGATCTATTTATGAACATGAAGTCGCTTGCAATAAATGACAATCAACCTAAGTACTTTACTTGTTATTATTTATATGCAGTTGTTACATGGCGATTACATACCATTTATTTGCATGTTATACTGTTAGGGGCAGCCACACTGGGGCTACTGGTGCAGTGGTGCCAAAGGTGAAAGGGGGTGAGTGCCTCTATATTTTTATTTGCTACCTAAGCTTGTCCTGACAAATTTAAATTGAATTAAAACGTTCATGAAATTGGTGAATATTGTTTGATATAATACCTAAATTACATGACTAGCTAAAACATTATTTTTGTATTATCTAAATTTGTTGTGTGTAATAATTTAAGGTATTTAGAAGGATATTGATTTTTAATTATCTTCTATAACTTATATTTTTATGTTTTGTTGTATAAGAAAATATTTTAATCAAAATATATAAGGGAAGGCATAACTATATAATATTGAAATGCCGTATATCTCGATATACGATAGACCTCCCAATAAACATTGAAAAATAATATTTCCCTCGAGAAAAAAAAGTCTTGCGCTATCACTAATTTTACATGTACCTACCTAATTTTTTTCCGCATATTTTAAGAATTTTTAGATCATATTGGTTAGAATATTTCAAGGTCTTTTGATGCATGATTGCGCGTCACTCGTTAAGTTTTGAAGGACATAATCCTTAGAAGGTACATTTTCACAAAAAAAATATTTATCGTAATTATTGTTGTATAATAGTTGTATCTAAGGTGTGATTATCTGTGTAAAACACTAAAATGACAAGTGATGGTACCCCTTCAAAAGTATTTTAGTCACTACTACTCGGCAATTCATCATAACTTAAAATGTTATTTATGTGAATCAATAGCTATATTTGTTCAATAGGTATCCGATAATAAATCAAAATATTTATATTAGAAAACTATATTCCGATCCAAAATTTTTAATTAATTCTTTAGGTTGTCACAAAACTAAAAAATCACAATGGAAAAATTGTTTAAAATATGCAATCTTTTTGTAATGATATAGCAATATAAATATTTTTGACAAAGAAATAATGCGACCTGTGCATGTAACCAGTGAAATGGATCACTCCGTTTACTAGTTTCAATATTATAATATTACCTATAAATTATTAATACACGAAACTTTTATGATAATAATACCACGTAAGTACGTCCGAACTAATATCGTGTAAGTCCAGTATGATTCTTTTGACTCGCTCAAAGAGTCGATATTCTTAAATATAGTATCAAGTTATCCGTAAAAAAACTTCTATGAGAAAATGAAAAACTTATAAAAATGTAGTTTTATGGACGACTGTAAAGAGATCAAAAGTCAATGCACATATTATAAACACGAGTAAATGAATGAATCTATCAAAACTCGCTCAAAACATGTTGTTTTGTACATATTATTACGAATTAACCCAAATTAAATCTAAATGTATTATTAAAATGTTTATGTATGAGAAGGATGATAAATATACACATAAATATGCCAACGTCCAACATGCATGAATTATTTTTCTCATACAAACTTTAGAGCTATACATTACATTACCAGCGCGTCTTTCCATGGTAGGAAGACTACAAAAGTTTTCCATAGCTTCTTTTAGCGTTTCGAATCGGACACAGATGATAGTTTAAAAAAGTTGTTTTGAATACATTTTCAGAGAAAATTCAGCACACACGTTTTTATCAAAAATATATTTTCGTTATTTTGTTATGATTAGGGAGTAAATAATATAGTCATAGATACATAATTAGGTACCTACAATAGAACATGAGTGATTATATATTATTTGTGGCAAAAATAAAATCCCTATCGAATGTTGGTCGGTGTTTTTGTTTTACGAAAATTTACGACAAATATAACTCTTGACAGGTATCAGATAAGATCAGTCTGCACAGACGTGTAACAATCGATATATCGTATAATACATAGTATAATAGTTTTCTAAAAGATAAAAACAAGATATACCTATAATAGAGTGCTCTTCAGCTAAACAATTTTACGCCTATAACGTGCTATACATAACGAGGTGCACAAAGCTCAGACGCATACGAAGACATTAGTATATTGTGCCTTATAGACTATGAAGATGATACGTATCTCCGTTATACCTGGTGTGCAAAAAAACAGAGTACACTTGAAAAAGTAGAAGTTGTTGCGCATGCGCAAAATACAAGAGTAAAGTCATCGGAATTTATAGTCCAAGTCGCTGTCGTGTCCGATGTCCCGCAAACGGAATTCAAAAATATATGTATAGGCTACTGAGCAAATACAATAGTATCCAAGTCATTGTGTCCCCGTTTCTGTGTTATATATTTTAAATATTAATTTATAATACACAGCAGAATCCGGTCATTACGATGCCGCCCGCGCATATCACGAAATTCCGGATAAATCGCGATTCCCAGCCATGTATATTTGTTGGTTGGTTTTATATCTCACGTACGTTTTTGTCATCAGGGCATAACGAAGTTCGGATACAACGATCTGATTCCCTATAGGACCCTCGAAGATCGTTGCGAACGGATTATATACTGTAGGTACACTAGTAAATACCAAAAAATAATAAATAAATAATATAAATACTAATTATGCGCTGCGATATCAGTATAATATGACGTATATATACGACCGGAGAGACGTGTGAAAGCGGAGTTTATTTCGTACAAAATCACATCGAACCAAAAGATATTCCCGTGTTTTAGACGATTGCAGAAACAATATATTGAACCTTGCGTGAATTAATAATTATATAGCGTTAAAACCCTCAGTAATGGTTATGATGGTTCCCTTGCGTGTTTAGTATTTAAATAATATTACTATAATGCCTCGCGAGTGGCTTCGTCTGTGTCGTACTTATTCGCCACATACCTGCAAAACGGTTGACTAACCCGTAAACGATGCTGCGCCGCCTCCGACGACGGTGCAATAATATATTTATACGAATATTATGATGTGTAATTTATAATTATAATTATTATTGTGTTATTATTACATACCTACCTATTACCCGCTCAAACAACGTCGGCGTATGATAAACGTCACGTCATTCTCCCAAGTAATAATAACTACTGCACGCACACTGTTTTAAGTGCGCGTAATTCGGGAATACGATCCGCCGATACGGTATAATATAATATATCGTATATTATAATTATATAGGTATGTACCCAAGTTCTATTTGATTTGATTTCCGACAGTTTTCGCGGAGTGCACAGACCACTGCAGTAATATAATAATGTATACCCGAAACGCTTATGACAATAATGATGATAATAACGATAATCTGCAGTCGGCGACCTTAACCGCAGTCGCACAAAAAAATTAACGAAAAAAATAAATAAATAAATAAACACAAACGAAACACGGGGCAATTAAAATAATTGTTATCGTTACGTCCAAGGATAGCGCCTCACTCCCGAGTTTCCGCGCCGTGATAAGCGATATCGACGATAACGATTATAAGTTCATAGTGTATATATATATAGTAATAATATATACCTATATTTATAGTACACTGCAATAGCATTGCCGCCGGGTTTTCGCGTAACAATCGTAAAAAAACGAATGTCATTATAGGGAAAGACGAGGCGCCATAGAGATATATAAGGACCTGCCGTTTGCAGGTGTCAAATCATTCGTTTCGCCTCCCTCGGTCCTGCAAGTGGTCCAAGCCTTAAGAATTATATTCGTTTTTAGCAGTATTACTACACCGCGATACACTCACGAGTCTTTTTTCCGCGTCCAATTGTTGCAGACGAGATAAACTCGAACTACTCGACACTATATCATATTATCATCGAAGACTCTCGTCGGCAGCCACCTCGTAAAAAATGGCATCTTGCAAGTTGATGGTAAGTAAACGAAAAAAAACGTACATCGGAAAAATCCTATTGTTGAGCGGCGAGGCGACGACAGCAGATTCTCGGTGTTTATTTTTCATGACAATATAATAATATTTATAATATTATTCTCGAAATGAACATCACGCTGTTTTTCTGGTCGCCGCAATAATAGACGTCCATCAGACTCGTGAATGATCCTCGTCGTTTCGTTTTTTTTATGGGTTTTTTTTTTTTTTTTTTGCCAAAGTTTTGTTTCGCCGCACTGCTCATTGTGTCGTCGGTCTTCGCCGAAAAGGATGCACCGAAAACGGCCGCCGAAAACGAGAGGGTGAAGAAAGCTGCAGTAATCCCGCCACCTGCTTCAGGTACGTTTGTATATATATATATTTAGTGTTGTACTGTTATAGCCTTACGGTTAGGATTATGTTTATGACCTAAACAAATATTCTTAAAAAAAAAAACCCCCGTGAAAATAAACCTTACAAATATAAAAAAAAATACACTAAAAATCGCTTTAAAAAAAATGGGTTCAAAATATGTGTTTGTATTGATGAAATTAATTTGATTTTCATTTTACACGACGAATAAAATAAGTAATATTAAAAACGTATCGTGTACAATATAGACTGTAGAGAGTACATAATATACGTAAATGTTCCCATCATCACCCAATTAACTTTTAGCAATTCTCGAGAATTCCTAAACGTAATAGGTTTCAGAATTCCTACGAAAAATTTCCTATGGGTGGGAAAAGTATGGAAAAGTTAAATGGGTGGGATGTATTAAATTTATGGTTGTTGGAAATCGTCGGAATTATCACATATAATCTCAACATAATATTATCAATCAAAAAAGAAGATTACAGTTTTGATTATCTGCGTTCACACGAGACCGTCTGTGTAATGCGTTAAATTCACTGACTGGTAATATTTTACACCGTTAAAACGAATTTATTTCTAAATCTTGATAGTATATGATATAATATCTAGTATAAAAATATCATGCGTTTATTTGTTTTTTTTCTCAAAATTATGAATTTATTACCTGTAAGGAATCAAATCAAACAGACAACACTTAGTGCGTGTGAGATCCAGAGAAAAAAAATAAACGAAAAAACCATAAGCATATTTATCACATTCTAAATAATTTTCCTAACCATGATTATTATATACCTAGGTATGTGCCTAAAACTTATTCACTTATTACAACTATCTCCTATGTATAGACGTAGTATGTGTTAATATTATAATTATTTTATGCGCCCGATTATTAAGTTCAACCGCGGTTCCGCGTTGGTGGAGTAAATCACAGACAACTGCTACTATACCTACCTTTCAAATCAGATTAAAGTCTCTCAAACTTTACACAATTAAATACACGATTCGAATAATTTGCCAACGTTTGAAAGTCAAATAACGGCAGTTTATAATTCGTTCGACTGTGAAAACAGATGAACGCTATATGTATATTATGGCGAATATAATAATTATATGAGCAAAGCAATTTTATCGGGTATCGGACTGCAAAATTAATAAAGTCAATATGTAATAATAATATTATGCAGTCGGTCGGTCTATATAATAATATATATTATATATTCAGTGCATAATTCTCACGTTTAATGTTTACTCATTCATAATCGGATTGTTGAAATATGTAATTTATTTTCATCGCTGCACACCGTCGTCGAAGTTTTCCGGTTAACATTTTTTTTTTAAATTGGTACCTATTATATTATTATACAGCCTGTCTTATACTTTGGATGGTACCTATTATATTATTATATAGCCTGTCTTATACTTTAGAACTAACTGTAATACTTCTATAACAAAATAATTGAAAACGCAGTTTTAATTGATATGAAGAAAAAAAATGAATACTATTAATTAAAACTACTATAAATGTGTTTTAGACGATTTATCATCATAAAATGTATGAATAATAAAGTGATCCGTAAATAAAATAATGACTGTGATAGGTATATATTAATAAATTACCGATTGAAATCAAACCTTGAGCGACAATATTTTTGATCTGATGAAGTAAATACTAGGCTTATAGTTACATGACGTGCTGCAGGTCTCTAACATTTACATATTATTTTGTATTGGAAATATAAAATAAAAATTCATTTGAAATTCTCTGAGAACAAATTAAAGCTTAACATAGTCTTACGCGCAACTCGACGTCATTCGCGTTATTCTCGATTCATGCGATTGGTGTTCGTGACATTATATTTTTTTTTTATTTTAGTCGTCATCAAGTGAAACGTTTTATATAATATTATGAAAAAAAAAAAATTAAAATCTATGGTAGAGAATAAAAATTGTCTTCTCTTGTAAAAAACATATTATAAATTATTGTACTACGAGGTATAATATAATATGATATGATGATAATATATTATGCGTATTGTGTTTCGTTTTACGAATAAAAAAAAACGTGATAATTTTTTTTCTTTCTTTAAAAAAACATTAAAATCTTTAGCGCTCACTAAAAAAAAAAAAAAAAACCGATAAACTATACACGGCAAATACATGCTGTGGTGGAACACTGTTTGCGCTCGAGACGACGTGCAGACAATATAATAATAATATATCAAAATGTACGGCTAGTTTAATGGCGATAGTAATAATAATAATAATAATAATAATAAAAAAATTGCCCACTCTAAAAAAACGCTCGCGGGGGCTCGTCAAGCGATATATATTATAATATTAATTTACTCCCCGGGGGGGAACATCGCAAAGTGAATAAAAATGTAAATGCCGGCGGACCTGTGCAGGAGCCGAGGGGGGTGGCGTGGCGCCTCGTTTGCGATGGTTTTAAGGAAACGAATTGCACTCGAAAATCGCATAGAAAAATAATACAATACAATCAATAGTCGCCTCGTCGCGCCGGAAAAACGGAAAGTCGTAGCGAAAAATGGGCACACGCGTGCACTATAAAAACAATAAGTAATAGGTACATAGAAAAGTATAAACAACACGAATCGAGTGAAGTGGAGGCCGTTCAAAACCCCAGAATAATACTTGTGCAAAAATACCTGTGTAAAAAATTATAAAACCTTCTATAGTGTTGTATTGTATATTTATACAGTGTCTAAATATAGGTGTACCTCCAGCCTGTTTATGTAGGTATCTGTTTATTACCTACATTCTTATTATAGTCATCGCTTCGTCTAAAAATAACGATTATTATTATATTCTAGGTACACTATTTTTAATCGTACGCTTTTCGTTTTCAATATTATGATATTCCGCTGGGGATAATATTTTAAAACCGAACTGACTTTTAGGCTACGGGACTGATACGAAAATCCCGGTTGTCATAATAATAATAATTAATTTACATATTATTATAGTCATCCGAGATTTTAACGTGCTCGGTGTTTTCGCGTCATCGGAAAAAAAAATAACAATTAAATGATTTTAAAATACCCCCGAATAGTATAATATGGGGTAGTAAAATCAAAACGGAGATGATTTCTTTTTTTTCATGTCCACGAGTGACGTTTTTCGCATGAAAATAATATTTATCGCTTTACGTACCTACTCACTTTTATAGCCTTAGTGGAAAACATTGACTGAAAATGCACAGTTTCTTCCGGGTGATTAATTGTATTTAACGTAAGACACTCGTTATTTCGAAAATTATTTATTTCACATGGCTTTAAGTCGTTACAAAAAAAAAAAGAAAAAAAGTGTATCCTTATAACTTAAGGTCTGTTCTTAAGTTTTCCAAATCTTAAATGCTTATAACTCGTATAGGTACTACTCCTTGGAAAAATATTCCTACTATGGAATATTAAATTAAAACTGTGTATATTGTCATTCAAAAAAGTAAATACTTAAAAAATTAGAAGGATGAAACTTACTAAAAAATAAATTTTTTTCAAACTGTTGTTTTTTAAAGACTTGGACGATGTAAGACTTATGTTTTCCTAAAACATTAATACTTTTTGAAATAATGAGTGATCGAAGAATCACCTAGCATATTATTCGATAAGGTACCTAGTGTACGTGCATTATATTGATATGCGTATATCTGTTTATCGATTTCGACTTCAAAATACACTATGTCGACTATATAGGAATTTATGGAATTTTTAAATTTCCCGATACGTATAAATCTATATTTCATACATAATTTTCAAATTATTATAACTATACTTTCAAAGTGCTCAGAGTCAGCGTTTTTATTGCCGGCGAGCATTTTTCCGAACGATTTTATGCGCAGCGTCCATTGATCATAGTACACTATAATAATACGGCAGGCATCGGCGCCGACCAGCAGCCCCTAAAACTTGCTCACCCTAAACCAGACGATAAATACGTCACGACGATATTACCATTGCCTGTGCGTGCGGGGTTTACTAATCAGCTGCAGGCAAATTATACGTCGTTCGAGTGCTTGCGGCCAATTTTTTTCAGCTAAAGTCGATAGAAAAAAATATATTCAGTGTGGCGAAAGTGCGATAGGACAAACACGACCGAATTCGAGTCGGCGAGCGGGGTTGTTCCCAGCAAATTTTAGTAAAATTAAAATTAAATTAAATTACACTCGTAAGTGTACAGTGATACATACGTCATACATATATACATCGTATATATTATTAAGTGCTTTTGAAGACGTAATAATTCACGATCAAACCTATCTGTGCATCACGAACGATATACTGTCTATACCGAGACGGCGTCGTTTAGTCGTTAAGTCGTGTAGGTATACCTAGTGTAAAGATATTATAATATAATATGATTGCCGGATAATTAATATCGTGTATAGTATAAATATTAATGATTGGTCTAGAAAAAAAATACCATTGACATTAGCATAATAAAAGGTAAAAAAAAAAACTTGACATATTAAATTGTAGACATATCAAATTTTAAATTCACATATTATACTCTATATATATTCAACTATTCAAAACACTCTTACGTAGCCTGCCTAGATGCCAAGTATTCTCTACAGATTTTTTCCATACCTATTTTGTACAGAAATTATTGTATATACAAAAAAATATATATGCAAAAAAAAACTTGACATATTTTATTTTATTTTTTTTTTTTACAAATATACTAGTAATATTACTATATTACTAATATAATTTTAATATAATATTAAAATGTAGACATATACAATTTTAAATTCACATATTATACTCTATATATCATGCAAGACACTTTAATTATAGCCTGACTATTACTAGATAATATGCTAAGTTTTCTCTACAGATTAATTTTTTCGTACCTATTTTGTACAGAAATCATTGCACGGTCTCATAGAAATATTCGATATCTGAATTTATTTATAACGTTTCGTTTCGTGTTTACAGTCGCGGCCGCTTACGGATACTACGGCAGTCCTTACGGCGGTAACGTGTACGGCAGCCCTTACAACACCGTGTACGGCAGCCATTACGGCCAAGCTTACGGTCAAGCTTACGGTTACCCGTACGGATCGCACCTGCAGGGAAAGTACGACGATGGCAAGTACCACCATCACGCGGCTAAGTACGACGACGGCAAGTACCACCATCACGCGGCCAAGTACGACGACGGCAAGTACCACGCCGGAAAGTACGACAACAAGGCGACGGTGGCCACGGCACTGTACAGCAAGCCGTATTCAACCGGACACGACGGGTACAACTACGGTTACAACGGTTACAACGGGTACAACGGGTACAACGGGTACAACGGTTACACCGGGTACAACGGTTACAACGGTTACACCGGTTACAACAACGGATACAACTACGGTTACAGCGGTGGATATCCGTACGCTCAATATCCGTACAACCACCAATACTACAATCACCAACACGCGTCGTACCCGTACGTCTATTAGGCTGACCTCTCCATCCGGACGATTTGACAGATTTTTTTTCTTCGATCCCACAAAACACTATTGCAGTTACCACGGATAATAATATTATACTCTTATGATGATCGTTATAACGATTTTTCTGTATACGATTTATACGTCTTATAAAATATGTAATAGAGTTTATTTTAATATAATTATAATAATATACTTAATGATGATAATATTACGTACTACCTATGTCAAAACTTGTATTCCGTCAGATTTTAAACATGGGAATAAACATTTTAGACATTGACTGCTACTATTAATTTATTGCGCGCTTATACGACGCGAAACGCGAACGGGCATTTACTTATTAACGTGATAAGGCGTTTACTATTTTATATTATATATGTGAAAATGAGTTCTTACCTGGCGATCGAGTGACTTGACGACAGTGAATCATCGCGAAAGAACGACGAGGGCTGTAGGCTGAACCGCCGTTTAAATTGATGCTTGCCTTTGGCCCCGTCTCGAGGCATTGCGGCCCGTTGCTGGAAAAAAAAAAAATGCCATCACATACGTCAATTAATAAATAATGTTATTATTATGTATAAGCGCGTACGATGTGAGAAAGAAAAATGTGTCACAAATACAATATTCTTGTCTCCGCAGTGCGCAGTTTAATATTATAATTAATTGTACCTCAGACCTCAGTCCTGTCGTGGAACATTAATGTTCTATGTGGTCCTGTGCAAGAACCGGGAATCTCCACTTTTTTTTCGAACGTGACTTTTCCATGAAATCGTATTCATGGAGGAAACAGCTACAACCAGGTGCAACAACCATATAAATCCGGTTATATTATTTTCGGAGTTTTCGTGAATATCGTTGATTATTTTCCGTGGGAGCAATAGTGGGATAATGCATTTTCAAAATATGGTCGCCCTGAACGATTTCTAAAATTGGAAATACCCGGTTCTTTGGATTTCAATGTATTTGTCACGGACTAAGATATACAGGACTGGACACGAGATGAATATTGTGGTTACGAAATGTTTTACAACAGGCGGAGTTAGGGGGGATATTTTCCTTTTAGCATTACTAGCGCCGTATTAGTGGATACTTATGGAACTAGATCACATTATTGTCATCTAGTTCCAAAAGTATCCACTAAGACGGCGCTAGTAATGCTAAAAGGAAAATATCCCCCCGAACACCGCCTGTTGTACTACATTTCGTAGTCAACCCCCCACACCCTCCAACCTTGTCGTGTCCAGTCCTGTATATCTTAGTCCGTGGTATTTGTAGACAGGCGTCTCGCGACAAGATAATTTCCGATACCAAATTCTTATCAAACCTTGTTATCACTTAGCAGATTAACCATTTGCAATACCTCAAGGTGTAGTAAGTAATAGTCAAAAAGACCTATAATTTATAATTTATACTAGGTAGCACGGTATATAAGACTAAATAGACTATTAATTATTATTGTTCTGTGCTATTATATAGTATACTATTACTAGCACGGTATATAAGACCGTGGGCTATCTCCCAATATGCGGTCTACCTCCGTTTTGTGTGCTACGTAACTATAAACATGAGTATAGTATGCGGTCTATCAATGTTATGTGTTCTACCTATATAGCTGGGATTTATATTTATTAATGCAACAAAAATGCAATTTTCTCAACCCTGTGGCCCACTTGGGGAGGTGTTGCACAGCAAGTCGGGGGATATTTTCGATTTGCGGAGCGGAGCGACGGCGCCGAGGAGCTTAGCGACGAGTGCCGTTTTTTCAATCAATTGCATTTTTATTGCACCGAGCCACCAATTTGAAAAAACATCGTACAGTGATGCGGTGCTAGCGGCACTCGTCGCTACGCTCCTCGGCGCCGTCGCTCCGCTCCGCAAATCGAAAATATCCCCCGACTTGCTGTGCAACACCTCCCCAAGTGGGTCACAGGGTAATAAAAAATATATACTTTAAATTATACTAATATGAAATTACTTAATATTCAATCGGTCATTTTTAGACTAAACAAATATTTGTTATCAAATACTATGTCGCAGACGCCTGTAATTAGCTCACAATGAGAATTATGGTCTTATAACTTTGGTGTGAATACTTATGATTTCAACTATCGCATCTAAATCTTTGAAATTATGAAATGTATTTTGCCTAAATTTTCTAACGGCAATATCGAGGATCCACCGTGACACGATTTAAAATTACGCTGCCGGGCCCTTCGATCATAGCAAAACGCGCTTCAGTTATTAAGATACGTGTTAAAATATTATACCGAAATATAAATTTAAACAATTTTTGCACTATCAATATTTCAAGGAAGAAATTTGAGTTCGAGAGCTTTCAGGAAGTTACACGACATGCAATATACAAGCGGATACCTACGCAACTATTCCTGTCGGTAAGTAGTACTATTCCATATCGATAAGTATCGAATTTTTCCTCTTGAAAATCTTCTATATAATATTATGTCATAGGTCAACACAGAGGAACCTCGATAAATCGAACGTCTATAACAGTCGAATTTTCGCGACAATTCGAAAGCGAATGTCTCGGTCCCTGAACCTATATTATATAATAATGCAACAGTGTAAGGGCATACCATTTTCCCTAAAACTCGAGTTTTTTTTATTCCTATCGATTCGAGGTTCCGCTGTATATTGGAGATACGCAGCAGAGTTGACGATGAGCTCGAAACGCTGTTAAATTTAAAAATCGATGATAAACCGAATAAATTCTAATCGAAGCTCGTGGTATACGCGTAGGTCGGATCTGCAGACATTTTGACCGATGGTCGCTTTTTAATAAAATTCATATATTCGCATAACGGATTATTAATATGTTAATTACTGCAGGACGCGTGTAAGTCTCCACCGTGAAACATGACGAATTTGCGTTCAGCAGAACCAAATATGTGTTGTTATTTTCTTATATTACTCGATTTGTCATCGATTGATGTAAGAATATTATCCGTGTTTGTAAGTCGTAAACGATATTTTAATTTTCAAGCTGAAGTTATGAGCATTTTTAAATTTCAATATACCTTCTCGCCGATGACAGTCATAACTCGCTCGAACATTTAAATATGGTTAAAAATCTGACGTACGAACACACAGATAATGTTTCGTATACCTTTAAGTTTGCAGATAATAATATGTCCACTCCCTTAAACCTATGCGCACAAATATTTGTTCTGCTCAAAGCAAATTTTGTTATGTTCTATATAACACGACATGCAGCCTCAGGCCCTATTTTTTAGTGAACCTAGTAGACACAAAGTGTGTAGTCCGAAATTGAAAGTGTGCACTACGGATTTGATAAGTGTGTACTAATGAATAAGACTATACAAATAAATAGATTATAATTGGTAGGTAATGATGTAGAATATAGTATATCTACACAGTACATATTATGTAATATACTAATATTACACTAAGTATGGTACATAAAATTAAAAAATATTTTTTAAAAATGAAAATCTTTTATGATATAGGTACCTACCAAAAATAAATTGTTTTCAGTTACATTTTAACAAATTGATATTTACTTCTCTGCATTGAATCGCTAATGAATTATTATGAAGGTTGGACACTTTTAGTTATTTCTGTGTTATGATTTTGACTCTCTTAAATTTATAAAAAGTTATGCCCCCCATATTTTACTGAATAATATATAAATTTAAATTTAAATTCTTGGTCCTCTTTGTCACTGTGTCATAATATCATTGTAAATAAAATGTGTAGTACGAATTTTTTTTGAAAAATAGGGGCTGCATGCAGGTGCGAGTGCACCATCACGCACGTACAAATTCACAATTTTGCGAGTAGGTAATCCTCGTCGTCGATCGTGTCGAATATGGCCTATATATTTGCATTATGTATAAACGCCATATTACACTAAGTATACATAAAATTAAAAAATATTTTTTAAAAATGAAAATCTTTTATGATAGGTACCTACCAAAAATAAATTGTTTTCAGTTACATTTTAACAAATTGATATTTACTTCTCTACATTGAATCGCTAATGAATTATTATGAAGGTTGGACACTTTTAGTTATTTCTGTGTTATGATTTTGACTCTCTTAAATTTATAAAAAGTTATGCCCCCCATATTTTACTGAATAATATATCAATTTAAATTTAAATTCTTGGTCCTCTTTGTCACTGTGTCATAATATCATTGTAAATAAAATGTGTAGTACGAATTTTTTTTGAAAAATAGGGGCTGCATGCAGGTGCGAGTGCACCATCACGCACGTACAAATTCACAATTTTCCGAGTAGGTAATCCTCGTCGTCGATCGTGTCGAATATGGCCTATATGTTTGCATTATGTATAAACGCCATGATTTACGAGCGAAAAATTATTTACCCTGCACGAGCACGCACGTGAATCCACGGGGAAAATCGTATGCACAGGTGCCTGCAGTATAATATTTATCGACGTCTCGTGATACGCGTATTGAAATGTTGACAAAAAAAAAAAAACGAAAGGAAAAAGACGGGTAAAACAATTTAATTTATTCCGGCCGTGTAATAGATTCGGTCCTTAATATCCGCACTAACACCCGCAAGTGGGTTGTGGGTGGTCCGGAAAAATCCTATTAAAACGCGACGGGGAGCTCGCCCCGTGGCTACTTTTTAGACACTTAAAACGTACAATTAAAGAAATTCACGCTGTTCGCGCACGTATCGCGACTAAACTAGTTTTGTTTTCCGAGCCATACATAATAGATAATAATATTAGTAAGGACAATAATAACGACAATACATATGACCGATCTAAACTCGCGGAGTGTAAGTACAATTTGTACCTATAATATAATATAGGTACGTATGACTCGTGTGAGAATTATAGTGAGCTATAATATGTGTCATTACGTCCACTCCCTTTATAATATGTGCATTATTGTGCAGTCGAAAATCGATTTGTCCGTCGCGAGTATAGTCTAAAATAGAAGAAAATTCAAAATTATTATCGTCATGTGTGTGAAACAATAACCCTAGAAAAA